AGAGAGAGAGAGGGAGAGACGTGAAACAAGGAACGTACGCGTGATTTTGTCTTCGATCTCATTTATCTCCGACACAATGATGCATTAAAGAACCGCGGCCTCCTCATCACGATGCAAACCTTTCGCTAGAAACCCGATCTGTCTGATCTGTCACGATCTCACGAGCTAATGGCCGGCTATGCTAATCCTACGTAGCGCAAAGTCCTACCTCTATCTCTTTCTCTCTCGCTTATGTAATTAGATGAGGGAGGTAATTTCTGATTCGCGCACTCCGCACGACGGCTTACTAATTAAATGCAATTATCCGTTGGCAAACAAGTTGATCCCCTCGCGATTTGCCGTTAACAAAGCGAAGCGTTTATTAACTCCCCACCGGTCCCACTCTGAAAGACTCTTGAATTTTGTTTCGAGGTTAAATACGGAGTAATCGAGACCAAGCTCGGAGTAAGTGGATCAACAATTTTCTAATAGATTAACAAACAAATTATAATTAGAATAATTGACACACATGTGTCATGTTGTATTTAAATTGTATATATTAAATCATTGAACATTTAGTTATAAACAAATATTATAAATTAAAAATTAAATTTTCTTATATTTAGCTCCAGCCACATTTTATTTTCAATAAACTCTTAAACCCACAAACTTAATATTTTCAAAAGATTTAACGTTGCAACACCTGATATAGTCTCCTTCGCGCGGTATTTGTCAAATTTTTTTCTCTCCGTCCTAAATAAAGAATCTGTTTCTTAACTTAGGCTAATTGCGAGTCATCGTATGTAGTTACGTTCGTTATGTACCGTCACACAGGCAAGTCATTGTTGAAGCATCCGCGCGATTTGTCGGGCACCTGTCGCTCGAATCAGGGACGATATCAATACTTAACAGCGCGGTATGCAAAACTGCTTACGCATCATTTAAGTGTAAGGCGTCGTATGGTAATCCGTCCGGAATGTGAGCTCTAGTCGTCTCGATTCAAGAGGCAATCAATCCCGCGATGCACTTGGCAGGCTGGGATCGCTTTCGTGGTGCGCGTGCCACCGGAAATCGGTTATCAGAAGATGGCGGAGAAAGGGCGAACGGAGATGAGACTCTTTCTCGGTACTGAACCGAGTCTGTGTGTTACGCATAAGATGCACCAGCGCATTCCATGCCGAGGACACTCTCGCGAGCGAATAAAACAATAACCGGATAAGGACTTCCCACGAGGGAAAACCTACTCCTAACACCTGCGCAGAATCCCGACCTCCCACAATTAAGGTTATCGATAAGAGAAAAATGCAGAATGTAAGCTACGAGAGTGTTCGTACTTGATTACGAATGCCTGAATAATCAAACAAACAAACTTTCTCTCGAACTGCGCTACAAGAAACGATTATATGAGTAATGTTCTAGGAATCTAGTATCTCTGAAGCTGAAAGACGAAAATATCCACGAGGTTTGCGATATCTCAGTATACAAGATGTTCTATAATAATTGAGGTCAGTCACTGGGAGATGAATGAACCAAAAGACAAGAAAGTTGAAGTATAAAGTGCAGCCTGAAAATGCAGTGTTTTCGAGTTATCGTTATTTTTACGTTGAAATTACGTTGAATTTACGTTTGAAATCGCTTTGCTTTCGAATTTTTTTATCAACATTGGAAAAAGAGGTAATCTTTATAAGTTTTATAACATAATTAAAGTCAAATAAAAGTTGCGGACTGCTTTAATACACAGGATATACCACGTGGAGGTACAGCCCGCTTAGCATCTCAGAGGTCGGAATGCCAGTTGTACATCCCATGTAATGCTAAAACAAACCACAACTTTTATTTGATTTAATTATGTTATAAAACTCAAAGATCATCTCTTTTTTCAATTGACGAAAAAATTCGAAAGCAAAGCAATTTAAAATTTCGACATAAAAATGACGATAACTCGAAAATAATGCATTTTCGGATCTATGTTCGTACTACCTTTTTTTCTTATTTTCGAGTCTTCAATTACCTTCCGAGGTGATTAATTTCCACTTTTGAAACACGCGCTGTATACCTAAGATTTCCCATTATGGAACATCTCTAGACTTTTTATTTTTAAAAGGCTTTATGATAAAGCGGTTAATTTCACGTTTAAATCGCGTAATTATATTTCAGTCCCGCGCAGAAACGGTCGAACGAT